GACTAAACGGGGAAAACATTTGCACATTAAAACTATGAACTACTTGGAGGTGGCATTAAAAAAAGCAGACCAGGCAAATCCTGCAGCTCACCAAAAAACTCAGCTCTCTCTTTCATTTAAGTCAAGATGGTGGCACTGTACAACCAGCAGGCTAATCTCTGGGGTTTACCTTCGGGAATGGCAGCCACAGCCAAAGCCACAGCAATCTTGAAATAGTAGATGGCACCACGGATCCAGGATCCCCCATGGACGGGGTCATTGAAATGACCTATGTTGATTATCCACACGGCCACACAAATGAGGGAGATGACCTGTAGAGAGAGGCGAGCAAAGGATACGGCAGGAGATTTAAGTCAAAGCGTTATATTTTGAAATAATATTGAAAAGACCAGCAACAAGTGCAGGATACGTCAGATCATGTTCGCCAGTCTTACCCACCTTGGAGAGCTGCTCTCCAAACTCATCCAGTTTCTGTTGCAGAGGCGTCTTCTCCTGCTCGGTGGCCGCCATCTGGTCACGAATCTTACCGATCTCAGTGGAGACACCAGTGGCAACGGCGATGCCAGTGGCCTTCCCGGCAGCGATGTTGGTGCCCTGCAGGAGTTGCAGAAAAGTTTAGAAGCTGTATTGTCTTAACAGTTGTCAGACTATTTCAGGTCATTTAGAGTTTCATGAAGTTTTTAGGTGTTTTATTTTTAACCTGGTGTTCAGTGGAGGAACCAAAAGTTGGCAGGAAAATATCTTCAAGAAATAGCAATTAGGGAATAGTAGTGAACATTGACAATAAATGAACATGGAGTAATCAAGAGTCAGTATTAGTCTGTCTACTAAATGTATTGATTTTGACTACTATGGTTTCAAACAATTGCCACCGTCTTCAATAGTTATTAGATAGAGTAAGGAGTGTAACATGGGGGTGTAACTAAAAAGAAAATATGAAGCTACATTATCAGATCTTAAAGAAATACGAACTGCACTACATTTGTTGAAACATGAAGTGAAGATGTTTAAACAGCCGAGAAAGTTCCTGTTTTATTGCAGTAACAAAATACCACAATGAAAAACGTGTTAAATAACAGGGCAAAACATATTATATTAAGAAATTATTCATTTTTTTTATGTTTTTATTTTTAGTTTTATAAATATACTATTGAACTAATTGCTATAAAGTGAATTAAACGAAACCATTTTTTAACTTCATGCTCTGCTTTAAAAAGTTGATCAGAATGTGAACTTTGAACCCGTCATCGTGACTTCCTGTTTCCTTGAGGGACACATATGACTTGTGGCCCATTCTTCAAAATGGGAAAAATCAGAGACCTCCTGGTCGCCTCGTTAGATTGTGTAGTACGAGCATCGTCTTCAGTCAGTGGTGTCACACTGGCAAAATATGCTTGGGTTTTCTAAAAGATGGTATTGATTTGAATGATTTGTAAAACTCTAGCTGGGGTTGTAAAATGTGGCGAATGCTGTGTACATCTCTAGGGAGGGTAAAGAAGAGACTTACAGAGAACAGCATGTTCTTCTTGTCCTGGTTCACAGCCCGGGGGTCCGGAACAGCCTCAGTGTGCTTTATCACGCTCACAGACTCTCCTGAAGCACAACGACGAGTTTGAGAGCGATCAGTGAAGACATCAGAAGCATGTTTTTTTCTTTTGTCATCTATTTTTGATGATGGGCATACCAGTGAGAATGGACTGGTCCACACGCAGAGTGGTGGACTTGATGGAGATGATCCTGATGTCTGCTGGAACTTTGTCACCAACTATCGTTCGCACAATCGACAACAGGCAAAGACAGGAAGGGAAGGCAAACGCTTGGTTTACATTAAAATGTATGGGCCGGTAAGATAACCTTGGGCTCCTTTTAATTTGCTTGATTTGCTGTGGAGATTTGCAGCGCAAAGCTCAGTAACAATCTGACAGCAGCATGCAGGATGAAGGGGGGCAGGGGTGATTGACTGGTCTTAGCACTTTGGATGAATAGTGTTGTTGTTGAAAACCGATACCACTGTGAGAGTCGGGGGGGAGAGCAAGACCTTGGGGAGGTCATGACAGGAAAAGAACAGGTGGACGAGGAGAGACAGAGGACTGGGTCAATATCAAGTGCTTTCACAGTCGAGCTTCTCCACCCCTTTTTCTTTGTGCTTACCTTAAAAGGAGGGTGTCATTTCTTTATAGATGGAACCACCGGCTAAAAGCTAAGCAGCAATGTTTAAGAGGTTTGCAGCTTAACAAAGAGCCTTGTTCCGACTGCTCAAATCAAATGGCCTGATCTGTACTGGAACTGAAAAACTCATATCATGCAAGTCCAAGAAGAGTCACTGTCATTTATTATGTTTTTTTGTACAAATGTCCCCAATTTTTCTTATGCTTATGAATATTTTTGCCCCAAGAACAAACCAAAATTTTCACAACAAACTACACAAGAATGACATGCTCATTGGCCTTTTTTCTTTTGATCAGATTTACCATTTCTTATAAACTTTTTTCTGAACAAAACTAGCATCTACTGGCAACAGGGTGAGTCTCAAATACCCTTGTTTGAACTTCACAATAAAAAAAATCTACTTTCGGAAAAAGACAAAGAAAAAGCAGCTCATGTGGATGACAGTCACTACTGCACAAGAAGTTGTTTCTGTTGACATCTGTTAGCAGGGTCACAGCAACATGGCATCGTTTTTAATAAACATAGGACTTACCAGAAACCTCCACCACATCCCCAGGAACTATCTCCCTGGCCTTGATCCTCTGCACACTCTTCCTGTCAGCCCTGTAAACTTTTCCCATCTCAGGCTCGTACTCCTTTAGCGCCTCGATGGCGCTCTCTGCATTCCGCTCCTGAAGCAGAAATTCACATTAATTACAACAACGACTTCCTCCGTCAGCCACTTGTCCAGTCATATAGGAAAACGGACAAATATGCAGTGTAAAGTTTATTGGAACGTGTATTTCATTGAGAGTTTAACGCATAAGTGGATTATTGTGTGGAAGTGGAAAGACAGCGATGGTGAGTTTTCTCATTTTAAATAAAACCTAAAAAAGTTGTGTAACCTGGTGAAATTAGTTCCTCTGTATCTCACTGTGCGGATGATGTACTCAGGTTGATGCGCAGATGTTGAATAACATTTGCATTGAGATTAAATTACACATTTCTGGACTTTATGAACTGATCAGGCGTCTTCTGGAGGGTGGGCTGCACTGGAGTTTATTTCGCATTGCACACTTCTTTTCAGATATGTATTTTTTGGAAAAACAATTAAGAAGCATGCAAAATGCATATTTCGCTTCCAAATAATGAGCTAACTTGTGTTGGCGCATCACATGAAATCCCTGTAGCTATACGTTTAAGTTTAACACTGAACTGAAGTGGAATCTGAAGAACATTTTGTTTGACGTCCAGCGTACTGCGAAGAGCAGTGAACACTGCATCAGCCTGTGATTGAACAGACTGGGCTGATGTTTGGCTCAGTCTGCGGTTTTCTTCTAAGGCTACCCCCAACCGCCTCAAAGTGTAAAGCTCAACTTATGCCAGCTGTCTTCCCTCTCCATATCCTCCATGTGTGAACCCTTGTGCATAGTTTCCAAATGACTGATATAGGGCTGTAACACACTCCCACTAAACCCAAAGCCCACTTCAAGCCTGTATTGTTACTATGAACTGAGGAAAAACAAAACATCTGTTTAGACCTTCCAAGCAGCTGGGGCTGCAGGTCATCACCTTGTTGTTCTGACCTTCAGCCTCTTGACCTCTTGCTGACGTCACACCTGGCTTCCCTTGAACTCTTTGGTAGAGGAGTGTGATGTCCGTAAAGGACGCAAGGCCGGAACGGGTCGACAATGTGTGTGATTTATTGTGCGTGACTGTTGCTAAGTTTGAGAGTCTATTTAGGTGTGTGTGAAACACAGTGTGCAGTGTGCAGGGGAAGCCACGTGCCCTTCATCCTCCAGACTGTGATTATCTTGCTGTGTGTGTGTGTTTGTGCGTGCGTGCTCTCCGACTGACCTGCCACACCCCTACGATGGCATTGGCAATGAGGATGAGGAGGATGACGAAGGGCTCGACGAAGGCGGTGACTGTTTCTTCACCTTCCTCAAACCAAGCCAGCACCTGTGTCAGGCAGATGCAAAGGGGTTAGTGCATGTTAGAATATTAGGTTTTAAAAAATGACTCCATATCATTTTAAATTCTGACAGCAGCAGTCTGCTATTCTGAAAGCAACAAATGTCAGGGACAAATTAGATATTAACAATTATAATATAATATAAAATAATCAACCTGAATGATTGATCTTAAATTTAAGTTAGATCTCTACTGTTTCTGTATCAATATGTAGAAAAAGATACAGTTCACTGCAATGATGCATTGCAAAATTGAGCTGACACTGGTGGAAAAGGTTAAAATAAAATTAAAATGTTCATTCATTGCCACCATTAACAAAGTTGTGTCAAAAACTCAAATGGGAGCATAATCTCACAATTTGGCTTAAACTCTTTCCAAACACAAAAGTCAAGTCTTGAGTTTTGACTTTACTGTGCTTTGAAATTTCTAAATAAAAAAAAAAAAATAAAAAAACACACAAGCCAAACAAAATTCAACCCTTTTTGTTTTCACAAATTCTACTTTATATTCAGATGACTAAATTAAAAACAGGAAGTAGCACTTTAGCTTCAAACCAATAGTAAGTCCAGCTGTCGATGCTAAACTTGCTAATGTTAGTGGCTAATAATTAGCCATTCACACTATTGTCACAAAGTTTACAGTTTCCCAAATTTGTCGTATTTTACCTGTTACTCTAGTCTTTTATTTTAAGCTAATCTATATCCAGTGCTGAATGTTCAAGTTATGTTTTGAGCAGGCCCTTTGATTTTATGCTTTTCTAATCCTAAGGTGGTTCTGATGTTTTAATAGTCGTGTTTTATCTACTCCATTTGTGTTTTTACAAATAATAGTTTAGATTTTAACACACAAATAAACAGATGGAGTGCAGACACATTTAAAACTGTGAAGTAGGACTTTATCTTAGCGCAGCTAGGAAGATGCAGAAGCAGATGCTAACTTTATTGTTGTTAGTGGTAACAGTTAGCTAGCTGGAGTTTTCTCATAGATCTTTAAAATAGTTTGTTTCTTGTCTTCCACATTTTCACCATTTCTTCTTCTACCAAATTATTGAAAGTGAGGGCAAGTCCTTTTATAAGCAAGTACTGTTAGCTTACCCAATGACACAATATAGCCTATAGCTAAGATATATTATTTACACACAAGAGAACAACTGCGTAGTGCCTTGGGAGTCAAAACTTACTTGAATAAGAACTACATTTTTAATATTGCAGAGTCTCGAAATACAAGATCTTATTACATCACTATTATGCACTGCTGATATTTAGCCTAAATCCTACAATTTGGAGTTCTGTTGTTTATTTCGGCTTTCTTATTTTCATGTTAACAAACTATCAGTGCTAAAGAGTGTGTGTAATGTCACTGATTATTTTAAAGTGTAGTAAGTCTTTCACACAATAATTTGGATACACATTTATATATCTGGAAGATACAAGCATTTCCAGAGAAAGTCTAAACTGATGATTATAAAAATTACAGGTCAAAAGTTACTACACTTTTGAAAGCCTACTATTTGGCAAGAAACCAAGACATGTGACATGTCTTGCTGTTAACTAATGGACTATACCTGTTTATAGTCCATTAGTTATGCTGTATGAGGCTGCATTACTGACAGATTTTTAACGCGTTTATAGTGCAACTTTATTGTAAAGTGGTACTTGTAGTTTTACTAACTGAGCAAAGGCAGTAATTTATCTCAGTAATGAACCTTTGGTGGATCAAATGACAGTTGTGTCTTATGTCATCCAATGTGTGAAATGTCTCGCCATAAGTACCACGTGACTCATTTTGTAATCTATAGCTTAACACGTGGCCGTCCCTCTGTGAGCGGGACACCCTCCTTACAAAGGCAGGCCTGTTTCGGAAAGGCTCCATGTTGACATTGACACAGATTAGTTGCAGGCCAGCGGAGCACGGGCCCAACCTCGACAATAACGCTCAGTTTTTCCCTCCGCATCCTAATTTGCCTCGTTTCAGCTCGCTGTCCCTCCTTCTTCTCCCGTCTTTTCTCACCTCTCTTATTTGAAAATAGCCCCTTATTGCTCCTTCCCTGCAGTCTGTCTTCACGGCGCTTCTCTTCAAACACACAATGGATCTCAGAGCGAGCGTCAGAGCCTGTCAGCACGTTGCAGTGACATAACATTCCTGTGTGTATGAATAGGATGAGCATGTATCTGCAGTATTTAGTGTTCTCTTTTTTAGAAACTGTATATGACTCTCAATCAATTGCTATCATTTGTCATTGTACCAAACAATGCCATTGTGCAACCCAATCCCCAGCCACCCCTCCTTCTGCGCCCTCCTCTCTTGTCTGTTCGTCTCTCCTGCTGCAAGCCATCCCTCGTTCCGACCATCCTTGACCTTTGTCCAAGGATACTGTTTCTCGTCCTGGCTTGAGACTTTCTTAAAATAAAGCCTGTGCCATGCAAATGTACTAGAACACACTGCCACTCACTTTCTGTCTTCCTCTTTATCTTGCTCTCTCTCTCTCTCTTTTTTTTTTTTTTTGTTCCACACACAGCCGTCAGGCCTTCTAGGGCCACAGCGACAGCTGTAAGGGAGGCCGGAGGGCAGAGACTGAGGATTAAGACAATGTGTGCAACGCGCTGTCCTTAATAAAACCATAGCAGAGAGAGCAGCAGCAGAGAGGGAGAGAGGGATTCCTTGTGTAAATGAGAGTGTATCTAAAAGTAATTTAATATCTCGGTGATGTACATGCTGTATTTGGCCGTCTGAGTGTGTGTTTGTCTTCACCACAGAGATGACAGGTGAGAACTGAGTGCACAGAACTGCACCTCGGTTTTATAATTAGTTTTCATCACCGTGTTTTATAAGGTTTGGTCCATCTCAAAAATTTGTTTGAGTAATCTACTAAGATTAATAATGCGTCTTTGCAGCGGAAATCAGATATTTACACACACTGTGTAGAAAACGTTCCTTTTATTGTCACTGTCTCGAGTAGTCGCACTGCTCTTGTTTTGGGTCTGTTAGGATTTACTGAGTGCCCGAATAATGATACTTAACTTTTAATTATTTCTTCGTCGTATAAAGATTTCATATATTGAGATTGCAGTTCTTTTGAACAATTAGAGAAGGGTTATATAAGCTGCTGCTCAATGTCTATTTACAGCATTTGACTGAATTGGAGATCTGTTTAAAGATAAAACCTCAGATGCGCTGCTTCTTTGAGTGACGTCATGGGAAAATCAAAGAACTCAGGCAAGATGTCAAGATGAGAATCGTGGAGCTGGATGAACCTAGTATGTTTAGTAAAATTAGTACTGTAACTGCTTTGCTAAAAAAAAAATTATAGTTTTTAAATGCACACGGGTGCAGATGTACGCAACATCTTAAGAAGTTAAAGCTGGGGAAAAACGGATACAGTCCAAATATTTAAAATGTTGTTTAAGGACAATGATGCTAATGTTTTAGAACTTAAAAGAAATTTGTGGGCAGAGCTGAAAAGGAAGGTGATTTACAAACCTCACCCAGTTACCACAGCTCTATTAGGAGTTTTGAGCCAAAGTTACAGCAAACAACTGAGACAAGCTTGAGGAAGGACGATCAAAACCCACGACCCATGTCATACAAATTACAACGAAATCCTACCAAATACTGTGACAGTCTTTGTAAACCTTCAAAGTCAAAATCTCTTTTAGCAAACAGAGGTAATTTTGGAAAACCTAAACTTAGTAAGGCTCCTTCAGGACAAGTTGTTTGGTCCAAAGGTTGCCAAATAGAGACGTCCTGATCGGAGCTGTCTTGAAAATGTGTTTAAGAAATCGGTAAGTTTCTCACTGAACTCAAAACCCGATATCAGCAAGCTGCACCCCAATCCAGAAACATTTCCATTTTTAATAAGGTTAAGCACATTATAAAAAAATATTCCAACAAACTGTGCTATGCTTATTTGAAAAAAACGTATTAAATTAACAAGCCTTAAAACCCCTTACAGTTAGTGCATGCCCAACAATCAGTCTATCATCATTACACATACATCTTGCAGGATACTACTAAAACACGGCACTGCTTGCCTATTTGGTTTATCCAACAAATTAAAAGTTTTCACACATTACAATAACTTTCACAGTGAAAAAGCAACTGTACTGACTGCTGCAGCTGTGTAACTCACACATACATCTGTAATAAGTTCATAATTATAATTTTCAGACATGTTTACATCCTGATTTACGTCGGGATTCTGCCGGTGCTTAATTATGACACACGTTTTATGCATTTAATCTGACATAAAAGTCAGATTAAATGCAACATCACCGCTCTGACCACAAATGCTTTGGAAACAATTGGATGCAAATCCAGTTTCGCACCACATAAGAAAGTGGCACAAATCAGATTTTTTTTTTTTTTGGGGGGGGGGGGGGGGAAAAGATCAGAATTGGGACATTTAGACTGTCATGCATTTTCCTGTGGTGTAAATGTAACCAAAGCTAACGCTAGCTTGGCACAGAGTAAGGCTGTTCTGCGGGATACAGTGTACGCTGCTGGCAAAAAAAAAAAAAGGAGCTAAACTAAATAAGTCAAACAAATGGATGAAGCTCAGTGATTTTTCATGAAACATTTGGAGATCTTAGGTATGTTTTAAACTTCGTCATAAATCTCCTCCTTCGTTATAAAAAGCCTCGGGTTTAACAAGATATTAAGAGTGGCGCTACTGCCCAAATGAAAACAAACTGATACAGATGCATCATGGGAGGTCAGCAAAAAAAAAAAAAAAAAAAAAAAAAAAAACAAAAAAAAAAAAAATAAAAAGACTCCCCAAAGGACATACGAACACCCGGAAGGGGCCAGCGAATAACCCATGC